GCGGGGCAGTGGAGACCGGTGCCACGGCCTGGGTCGGCGTGGGCGGCGGGCAGGGCTCCCTGCAAGGCCTGCCAAGGAGCCTGGGGCTTTGCCCTTCTCTTTCAAAATACGTTTCAAGAGACATTTGGTTTACGATTGCATAAATAGTAAATAACCCCAAACATGATTCGATGTGATGCGTGACCACACCTGAAGATAAAAGCTCTGACAGCAGTGCGTTGATAAGGGATGTCGGAGCGGTAGTCGGCTATTGGAGACCTGCGGTCCGTGTTCACCAGCAGTCTTGTTTCCGGCTCCACATCAGTGCCCGTGTTAGGCTTGTTCGCCGTCAGGCACCCCAGCCCAGCTGGGACTCCTTCACCAGCGCGAACGCTTGTGACGCGCACCACAGGGCCGTCGCTGCCACACTGCAAGCAAACTCTGCGGTGAGAGTCGTTAAAAAAGATTGCCACATCAGGGTTTTATTTGCACTTGGTCCTGAGTCGCCCTGGGAACAGCAATTACTTTGTCCGTGATGTAGAAGAAACTCCGGGGTTGTGCAAGACCCGCAGGTCTCAAAGCTGCTTCCGCCGCCAGCCGGCAGCGAGCAGGGGCCTCTCGACTTGGAGTCATAAAGCCAACATTACTTCAGCCTCTCCGTGCCTTGCTGGGACGCTGCGGAACAGTGAGCCATTTGGGAGGGTAGGCTGAAATTTGCATTAAATTTAAAGGAGGACAAACTTTTCTGTGGAATTATGGATGAATCAGAATGTGTTGGCAGCAACCAATTCACATCTCTCACTGGAACAATTCCTGATGGAGTATCCCGCTTTGGGAACTTCTCCTTTGATGTGTTAGTTACAGTTTTAGTTGCAGACACTTGGTGAACGTGGATACACGTGGAGTCAGTTCTTTGTGGCTAAAAGTTTCATGCCTTTAAGTTCTTGTAGCTTGACATTATAGGTTAATCTTTGGAGTTCTGGGTATAAATTTGTTCTTTCTAAAATGCACAGTTTGAATACACTCTTCTGATGTTCTTTGCAATGGTTTGTATCGTGCTCTTTTCACACAGGATGAATAAGAACAGCCTATTGCTGCATGTGCGCACCAGTTTGTGTGGAAAGGAATTCTGGAATGAGGGAAGGAATAAGCAAGAAAGGCAAATATGTCTCAGTAGGCAGGACACTCTCTGGGGTTTGGAAAGGTCAGGTGTAAACCTCTTCTCTGCCTGCACCAGCCTTTTGAGTCTGCATTGTCTGAAATCCCTGAAGAGTTTCTAATCTACAAGGCAACTTTGTCTTCTGTTTCCCTTCGGAATGGTGTTTCGTTAAGGCCCAGCCTTAGGCAGGTCCTAAGTTGCCCCTACCTGCAGAAGTCCCTGCAGGGCCTGAAATAGGACGATAGTCTTCTGCCGGTGACTCCACTCCTGTGGCACGCACTGAGCAACTCTGCGGTTAATAAAAGCAGGCTCTCGCTGCCAAATCCCTGCTATTAGATATAAAATGTTCCTTAGGGAGTGCTCCCCTATTTCTTTCCACATAACCAAAAAAGAAGCAGCAGCTGCAGTGGAAGATCATTGCAGCTGATATGGGTCCTTCTGTTTACACCGAATAGCAATACATTTTTATTCTTTTAGATACAGTTCTGTTAATATGTCACTTACCAGCAATAAGTTGGGGTATTTGTCTCAGGGTCAAAATACAGCCCTCAGTTATGTGATCTTTCCCCTACAAATATCACATCAAAGGTAACAAGAACGATAACAGGCAGGGATGTTTGAAAACTCTGTTTGAAAGATTTTCGTCAAAGGTGTGGCTCCTCGTCCCTGCTACCTATAGAAAAATTCAGGCAGGAAAGGACCTCTGAAGGTTATCTGGTACAACCTCCACCTCAGAGAAGGGCCGACATCGAAGTTATATATCAAAGCGACTACTAAGATGTGATTTAAAGTTATTACTGCTGCTTCTGCAGGGCTCTGAAAGCTATGATAAGATTCCCCTTTTGTCAGAGAATACTATCAGTTTTTATCAGCAGCTGCCTTCATTTGCCAACGTCTAGTTTTAGTAATGCAAAAAATGTATATTCATTTGTTTTCTTTTGTTTAAAAAGCTACAATATAGGATAGTCACAGGGCAAATCACGTGGGAAGCTGTCTGGTGGAGCTTCTAAAATGAAAAAGCTTTTGAAAGGAAAGATGGATCTTAGCTTCAGGAAATCGAGATGTTTGAGGTTGTTAAAGTTCAAACCCCATTCTGGCTGTAGTACGTGTGTGCAGTCTTAGGTAGCTGCTGCGCTCTGTGATAAAGAGATGCAAAAGTGGCTCAAAGACGATCCACAGAATCACAGAATGTTCAGGGTTGGAAGGGACCTCTGTGGGTTATCTAATCCAACCCCGCAGCCAAAGCAGGGTCACCTAGAGCAGGCCGCACAGGACCTTGTCCAGGCGGGTCTTGAATATCTCCAGATAAGGAAAATCCACAACCTCTCTGGGCAGCCTGTTCCAGTGCTCCGTCACCCTCAGAGTGAAGAAGTTCTTCCTCAAGTTGAGATGGAACTTGGTCCCTTTGTCCATTTGGTCCCTCCTCCTCCTATGTGCATGTGTGTGTCTCAGTGTGAGAGGCAGAGACAGCTGAGCTCCCCAAGCAGAATATTTGTGAAAAAACCTTGTTGTTGACGGTTACTTTGTCCTCTGTTATGTGCGTCTGGACCACTTGATGAAAATAAATTAAGGCATTTAAAGCTGTCGGCAGAAGAAACGAACTCCTGTGGCTTGTGCGTGGCAAATATGTAGCCTATGGACTTTGAAACTAGAAACATTGGGAAGAACTAGAAAAAAAACTAAAAAGAGGAGGAAAACAATATTCTAGTTTTTCCAGGCTGTGAGACAGAGAAGTTATGTACATACCAGAGAGCTGGAAAGCTCATTGTTTTCTAACGGCCGTCATGCAAAGAGAATGGGTGTATCTGCAAAACACACATCTTTCATAGGAAGCTCATTAGGGCAATTATCGAGAATCCAGAGAGACTGGCTAGACTTTGTGAGACAGAGACATATCTCTCTCTGCATATATAGCAGAAAAGATAATCTCAGAAAAGTAGAACACCTTTTGGGACAACTGAAATACGTGTGACATGACTGTATGTGACGCAGAGGACTTGAACCGTTTGTGGAGTAGGACAACCATGGAAGAAATGCACATAAAATTAGTAGTAGAGGAGAACTGAATGCTGAAAAGTTTTTAGGGTGGCTAGAGCATGTTACCCGTTCGAAAAGCAGATGCCTGCGTCATTAGCAGTAAGGCGCAATGGCATGGTGACAAAACCAAGAGAGAGGTATGATCACCGGTCGGTTGCCTGCACTGAACCTCTCCCCATCATGCACAAACATGCAAAGACAAAACAGGAGGCAATGAGACAACCTCCAAACTTAAGAGACAAGTATGTGGTAAAGGCATAGCAAGTCTGCAGCAGACAATAGAGACACAGTTAAAAAGACTACATTAAAAAGGAGTACCTAGAGTAAAGACTACTCAAACTTTCATGTGCCATGTTTTAAACATTGTCTAGATGAGCAAAATGATCCAGCTCATGCACCTGGAGAATAACTTTAACTAGAAAAACCTTGAAGTTACATACACTGCGTTTGGGGTCTTACCCCAGAATACAGAAAAATAGAAATCTGCAGCTATTTTCACAGGACCAGAAGAAGTATTTGGAAAACCAGCAGCTGACCTCAAGCCTGATCGGTCTTCATCTTCATTCAGAAGCAATAGGTAGTACCCCGCTGTTAGCAGCGATGGCCTCACTGGCGTTAGTTGGACAGTATTCATTCACTCTAAGAGGAGAAATCAACTACATTGAGGTACAATAGAAGTGTCAGAGTCTACAGGACCATGGAGTGGGTGTTTTCACCAAGCTTGAGATCATTGCCAGGAAAAGGGTCACAAGCAGAGAAGCACTCTGGTGCATCATATATCAAAGTGTAATTAGAAGGGTGGAAAATACCTGCAAATGAGTTTGCAGCAGAGGAAAAAAAGCAAATGCTGATCATCAATCTTCAACGTGAAGCAATCAAGTGAAAGTACTACAGCCTACCCAGCGTGGGTTATGCTGCTTGTATGTTCTCTGTCATACTGGCTGCTGCACTGAACACCCAAACTAACACCTAACTAAACAACCGCAAAACAAGTTGTTTGCCTTTTGGTATGTCACCTGCACAGAAGACATAGCAGAAAAAGGAGCAGAAGTTAATAGAAAGACTAAAAGGAGTCACAGAGAAAGTAAGCTAATCTGATATCAGAAAAAGGAGGCAAAAGGCATAATCCAAATAATGTAAAGTGGCAGAGCAATGAAAAACAGCCTTACAAGGGAAGAGCTATGGATGTGATCTATCTGGACTTCTGTAAAGCCTTCTACACAGTCCCTCACGACATCCTTCTCTCTAAATTGGAGATATATGGTTTTGACGGGTGGACTGTTTGGTGGCTAAGGAACTAGTTGGAAGGTCACAGCCAGAGGGTAGTGGTCAATGACTCAATGTCCAAATGGACGCCGGTGACAAGTGAAAAAATTGAGAAGGGGCCCTGTGTGAACCTCCCGAGGTTCAACAAAGGGAAGTCCAAGGTCCTGCCTCTGGGTCACGGCAACCCCCGCTATCAACACAGGCTGGGGGATGAAGGGATTGAGAGTAGCCCTGACGAGAAGGACTTGGGGGTACTGGTGGATGAAAAGCTGGACATGACCCACCAATGTGTGCTTGCAGCCCAGAACGCCAACTGTATCCTGGGCTGCACCAAGAGAAGCGTGGCCAGCAGGGCGATGGAGGTGATTCTGCCCCTCTACTCTGCTCTAGTGAGACCCCACCTGGAGTCCTGCGTCCAGCTCTGGAGCCCCCAGCACAAGAAGGACATGGACCTGTTGGAGCAGGTCCAGAGGAGGGCCACAAAAGTGATCGGAGGGCTGGAGCACCTCTCCTGTGAGGCAACGCTGAGAGAGTTGAGGCTGTTCAGCCTGGAGAAGAGAAGGCTGTGGGGACACCTTAGAGCAACCTTTCAGTACATGAAGGGGGGCCTATAGGAAAGGTGGGGAAGATCTTTTCAGCAGGGCCTATTGCGATAGGACAAGGGGTAGCGGCTTTAAACTAAGAGAGGGTAGAATTAGGCTAGATACAAGGAAGCAATTTTTTACCATGAGGGTGGTGAAACACCGGAACAGGTTGCCCAGAGAAGTAGTGGAGGCCCACTCCCTGGAAACATTCCAGGCCAC